TAATGGAGATGGTTAAGTTTAGTGACGACAGTGCAGTTTAATGGAGATGGTATAGTTTAGTGGAAATGGTGAAGTTTAGTGAAGACAGTGCAGTTTAATGGAGATGGTGGAGTTTAAGGAGACGATACAGTTTAATGGAGACAGTAGAGTTTAGTGAAGATGGTGTAATTTAATGGAGAAGTGATACAAAAGGTAGGGTAGGACATATTCCATGTACAGCAAAAGTAGGTTGCTAGAAAAGTCTACCATGAAAGCTTAGTTTATTAGATGATGCAGCCTCAGGAGAGAAGGTGGGCTTGTGAGATATGGGGAGGGAAAACTATAAATAGCTTGACATGCTTTCCTGTGGAAGTGAACTTCCAGAGATCTTTTTATTTTTTAATTCTTTATTTTAGTTGTACATGAATGTTGCAAGTATGCTCACAGTGCCACAGCAGCTAGTGCAGGCATGTCAGTAAGCAGAGAGATACAAATATATATATAAAAATAAGTAATATTTGACAAACAAGCTAGGCCTATCTCGCTAGTCGGAGTGATGTGTTGTCTAATTGTTCAAATGTGTCCTAACGCTAAACATAGTAAAAACTGCAATTAGTGGTTGTAGCGTGAGTGTAGGCACTAGTAGCGGCTACCATTAAGTGGAGAAGTACGACATATTATCCAGCAGAAATCCTGGCTTGGGTTCCGGGGGTAATCTATTGGTGTTTGATTAGTCCCTTCTTTATTCATTACATGCCCTGCGTGCCAGGTGTCCGCTCGTGTGAAGCAAACAAGGTCCACGATCCCTAACCAAGGGGGTTACGGGGGATGGAAACCGCCAGAGCAGGAACCCTATTGTGATGGTGTGGTGTGGAGTGTGGATGGTACCTGCCGGTATCCTGTGTATCCTGTAGTCAGACGCCATCATCGAGGGGGTGCGCTGCATATCGATAAACATGTGTATTAAACTAAAACTTTAAAAACTGTTAACTTTGTGTGTACTAGCAGAGGTACATTAACTGAGTTCTGAGTCAAGTTGTTGCAGTCGGGGCACCTTTCCTCCGTGGTATCAAAGGGACAGTCCTCGTCGGGTCCCAGGTGTGCAAAGTGGTGGGTGTTTCAAGGGGCCTCATTTCTGTAGGGAGCCCCAGAGCGTGGAGGAAAGAGTCCGCCTAGGTGAGAGAGGAAGGCATCATGGTGGTGTCATTGTGGACTACTGATAGGGCTCTAGGCATTGTCCAACTGTAGTCTATAGCAGCTGCTTGTAGTCGTAAGGTCAATGGGCCCATAGTTCTCCTCCACTGGAGAGTGGACCTGGTTACGTCCTGTAAAAAGGTGAGTTTGATGGACTTGAATTCAAGCTGTGTTTTGCCCTTCACAGCTGCAAAGATGGTATTCCTGTCCGTTAGGGATTGACACCGTAGGGTTACATTTCGGGTTGCCTGAAGTTGTGCCTGTCTTGATTTGGAGATGCGGAAGATTCCTGCAAATGCCACCTTTTTTGCTTGCGGGTTAGGTAACAATGTGGCGAGGAGACGTCTAAGATAATGTGGTAGTGAAGACTGGCCAATCTCATCAGGAATGCCTCTAATTTTTATGTTTGTTCTGCGACTCCTGTATTCTGTGGCATCCAGCTTGTTAAGCAGGGCTGAATGGGAGGACTGGACTTGCTGCACTGTTTCTTTAAGGCCCTTCACTTCCTGCTGTATATCTAGTATGTCCTCCTCTGAGGTTTTCACATGGTCAGTCACCGCCTGAACCTCCGTTCTCATTTGGGCCATGTCAGCGGCAGACATCTGCTTCAATTCTATCCAGTTTGGTAGCCGGAGTCAGCAATCTGTGCATTCAGGTGTGGCTGTGGGTCTGAGGCTTCCTCCAGAACTTGCTCTGAGCACATGGAGCCCGTGTCTAGTTCAGGCATGGCAGCCATCTTTGGGGCTCTTGGGCGCTGGAGCATGATGCCTATATCGCGGGTGTCTTTGCACGCATCTGTTGCTACTCATTGGGATTTCCTCCCCATTACTGCCGAGGTGTCCAGACTCCCAGTCTGGTGAGGTGAGTGAGAGCCCCGAGGTGGTCAGCACTGTCTCGAAGGCCGTGTAGACGGAGTAGGCCTTTGACTTTGCGGTGCACCTTTCTGCCCGTCTGCAGGAATAAAAAGGATAACCGTCAATGCCAGCTTGCACTGCCTGTAGGCTTTACGGGTTAAATGCGCTCCATGAGCGAGGATTACAGTCAATTTTTTTGTCGATATGCAGGAGCACCCAGGAATGGCGTCCGCACTGTTTGGCTGCTAAACTTCGCCCCCCTTCAGAGATTTTTGTAGAAATGTAGACTGGGTGAGAGTCTAATGGAGCAGGGACGGGAGTTCCACAGCAATGGTGTAGCCCTAGAGAAGTTTGGGAGGTGAGAGTCACGAGGTGCGAGTACAAGCAGAGGAAAGACACAGATCATCAGCAGAGCATAGGGGCCAGGACATACTTGTGTATTAGTGAGGATAAGTAGACAGAAGCAGTATTGTGTAGAGATTTGTAAGTGAGAAGCATCATTTTAAATTGAGCATTCTATTTTACAGGAAGCCAGTGTAAAGACCAACAGAGGGGGGAGGTCGGGATGACAGGAAGATGAGACTTTCCATAGCATTGGATCTAGACTGTAACAGGACGAACTGGGAGCGCGTAAGACTAGTGAGAAGGAGATTGCAGTATTCAAGGTCGGAGATGATAGCAGCATGGACGAACACCACAAGAGACCTTCATTCAATTACGCAACATATTTTCTACAGAAACTCTGCGAGCAAGTTATAATGTACGGACAGCTGTCCAGCTCACCGCAGTAACGTATGAAACAGCTCTTCATGTTTCTATCTCAGCATGGCTTATCTTCTATCAAAATGTGTTCTTGACCTTTTGGTGCTATATTTGCTCTTTTCCTTTAACCCCTTAATGACGTTAGGGCATGTCATTATGTCCTAACTATAATGGGTTTAATGCACTTATGGCATTTTGACATGTCCTACAGGTTTGGTGTGGGCAGGGTTACAACAGAGAGTCGCAGGTAGCAATGAATACCTGGGGCTCCGCTCTGTCAGCTGGGGCCATTTTTAGTAGCCCCAGACTTTTCAATGAGCTGTTTGAAGTGCTGGAATCCAGTGCTGCAAACAGTTCTTTAAACATGCATTTAAATGCCTATTACAATGCTTGCAGTTTGAGCAGGGATCCCTGCTCACACCACCAACCCAAGGCGTGAATGGATAACTGGGGCTCCTGTTAATCAGCCGGGGCCATATTTAGTGGCCTCAGACTGACCGATGAGCTCTGTGCTCAGACTAAACTCAAATGCCGTTGAGGGTAAAAGACAGGGTAGGGTTGAAGTTAAGGGTACGATTAGGGTAGGCATAAAGTTAGAGTTAGTGCGTTGGGTAAGGGGTATAGTTAGTATAGTGTTAACTATAAAAATTAATTTAGAGTCTAAACATTTTAGGCATTTAGCAATCAGGACTGATATTTGAATCTAGTTTGAGTTTTTTTTAAATTAGTTTCACTGGATGTGTAAAAGTTAATTTAAGCAAAAATGTGACAATTTTTGTTTTTGTTTGTTTCATTCCCTCCCCCCCCAATTTTTAATAATTTACTCACACATAATTTTTTATTAGGTATACATATAGGACAGTGATGGCGAACCTTTTTGAGCCCGAGTGCCCAAACCATAATACATGCCAATTTTTTTTTCCCTCAAAGTGCCAAAACGGCAATTAAACCTGAATATTGAGGTTTAAGTTTAAAAAAAAATCTCATACAGTTGTCCGAACTAATTAACATCTGTGTGTGTATTAAGCAGTTTGTGTGTGTGCTCTGCAGTCTCTCTGTATGTGTATTTAGCAGACTGCTGAATACACAGACTGTTGAGTACACAGTCTGCTAAATACATACACACACACACAGACTGCTAAATACACACACACACACACACACACAGACAGACTGCCGAGTACACACACACACAGACTGCCGAGTACACACACACACAGACTGCTGAGTGTACACACACACAGACTGCTAAATACACACACTGCATTGAGGTGTGTACGGTGATGTGTTTGTGTGTGGGGTGATGTGATGTGTGTGTGTGTGTGGGGTGATGTGTGTGTGTGTGTGGGGTGATGTGATGTGTGTGTGTGTGTGTGGGGTGATGTGTGTGTGTGTGTGGGGTGATGTGAGGTGGTGTGTGTGTGGGGTGGTGAGGTGGTGTGTGTGTGTGTGGGGTGATATGTGTAGGGCAGGGGTGCTGTGTGTATGTCGTCCCCTCTCTCCCCCCCCCACTGTTTTCTTTCCCCCCATCCCTCCCTCATTTTTTTCTCCCATCCCACACTGTTTCCCACCCATATCTCTCCCTCAGTTTCCCTCCCCCCATATCTCTCCCTCAGTTCCCCCCCATATCTCTCCCTCAGTCCCCCCCCCATATCTCTCCCATCCCACACTCAGTTCCCCCCCATATCTC